AGACTTCAATACAAAGCCGGGAAGGGAGGAGCAGTATAAACGAACCTACAAAAGCCTTGGCCATTAGCGAGTCTCGTCCATTAAAACTGCACACACAAAGAATCAAGGAGTTGGGTAAAAAAAAATACAAAGAAAAAAACTTCTGCAGTAAATTTGCTGAATTATTAATTAACCTCAAACAATTAAAAGCGAAATATTTAAAAATGTTCGTATAATTAAGCAATTTCGCTAGCAAGGATGGGTTCAGTGAAATATTTATAAATCCTTTCAAGCGGCCAAAGAATTCGGGGAAGGAAGTTGGAGGTTGAATGTTTCAAGACCGATAAACAATGTAGATTGTAATTAACTTGAGCGCGGGTTCCCCAACCTGCCCAATTTTAAACCCATTTTCCACCCATTTTCCAGAGGCATGTAAAAGTGGGCGACGGCGACTTAATTGCATGCACGAAATGCAGGACTCGAATGAATGACATTCATTTTCGATTCGCTTCCACTGTCTTTGCTGCACTTCCGTTTGTCACACACACACACACACTCACACACAGGAAGCCAGCCAAAGGATTCAGCCAGGATAAAACTTGGCGGCGGAAAATGGAAGGTATGAAGGTAAAAAAAAAAAAAGAAAAGGGTGAGCCAAAAGCATCAGGGGGCCATCAATGTTGAGCAATTGGGTCGCCCCTCTCGAATTTCATAAAGCATTCTCATTGAAAATAATTAAAATGCGTCAAGCGTTCAAAATCAAGCAGCGTGGAAATTTAATTGTATTGAAACGAAGGGAGAAAGGCTCACCTGTTCTCTACTATTTTCCCCCCTCCCCACTTTTCTCCGCCCCCTTATCGATGCGAATGAATTGGTTCCATTTGGCAATTGGGCCAACAAATGAGTTCGTTTCTTTTATTTTTTTTTCTTATTTACTTTCACAGTTGACCGAGTCGGGAATGAATAAAGCAAATATGGAAGCTGAGTGCGATAAATGCAATTGATCAAAGGAAGAGGGACAAAAGAAAAGGATATTACCAAGGAATCGATTAATACAATCAGCTTAAGAGAAGTCCATCTTACTTTAATAACAGGTTTCAATTTATTGCAATTTAAGTGGTCGACATGGTAAATCAACGAATTTAAAAAGGAAACCTTATATACACTCAGACGGATTGTCATATTTATTATTAAAGGAAACACCTGCTTTTATTAATTGTATGTGTATTTTTCTTAAATTTAATTCTTTTCTGTCTGATTAAAATTTACCTCCTCCCACTTCCCTCCTCTTCCCGTGCAATTACAAATAAAGGTTTAATTTTTATATGCATAACTGTGTATGTTGCCTTTCTTTTTTCCATTTCTGCTCCACTTTACAGCGGACACATGCTACATTTCCCATGGTCAAAGGAAAAAGCGGACACTGCCCAAGGCCACGAAAGTACAGTGAAAACTGGTTGGGTGAAAAGAGGCGATGGCTCAGCCAGAAAAAACATGCAGCTGTCATTGGCAATAAAAATAATAACACCCATCGAGTGTTCAAAAAGTAACAAAAAGCAACAAGAGTCAAATGAATTCGATGGATCGATTTTTTTTTTATATCAATCACAAAATAAACACTCAACAATGGAGGGTGGAGGGAGAATAAATGTTTATGCATTTCCTTTTCAATACAAACAATTTTTTATATTATCATATTTATTTATAGGTGCTACATGTGCCCCGCCGGAAGCTGTAAGCGTCATTCGCGTTTCACTTTGATATTGTTCGAGGGGCAAAATACATAAAAAGCATTTTTAATTTGCACTCGAGCATCTTTCTCCTTCGACAACCTTTCTCTGTGCCGTAATTGAAGTAAAGGCCCACGCCATTTGATTATTTGTATATAAATAAAAAGAATTGAGTTTGATTTTACGATTTGTTTGACATGGAACCAAGCAACACGAGAAACAAAGATGTTAGTGTGAAACAAATAAAAAGCTCCTTCACCCCAAACAACCATTTTTCATTTCCACCGAGGCGAAAGAAGTATCCACAAATATATGGCAGCCTCATAAATAGGAGACCAGAAATCAATTGACAATTTATTGTTTGAAACATAAAAAATGAGCGAGTGCAAGTTGAGCTTCGAAAGGATGTTGGTTGGGTGGTTGGGCAAAAATCTATATTAAATTACGAGCAAGCTAACAAAATGTCAAAATAATAATAATAAAAAGGCGAGATGGCAAAAAATGAAAAATGTATTTCAGAGAAAGATGAAAACGCTTAAGATACCCTATGAAATATCTCATAAAATAATTTATAATAATTAAATATTGATATGAATAATAATTTGCAAAATATGTTTTAATAAAATGAGCTGCATTTTCTACAAGTTTTCCTTGCCTGTTGCATGAATTTCAGCCAGCAGATATACCAACTCCACCATTATTTAAAGGGGATCCCATGACATAGACATATATATATCATACACATTTATATATAAAGAGATATTGTATGTGCATTGCTTGACTTTTTGTGGCCATTGTTGCTCGACGGTCGACGTTGTTGATGCTTTTGCTGCTCTCTGGTGTGCCCAATTGCCTTTAAATTGTACCGAGTGTTAAGTGGCGCACGTTAAAAAAACATTTAACGTTTTTATTTACGATACACCGAGTCGCCAACATTAGAAAGACCAGATAAAAAAAGTGGCAGAACCTCTGGCGGAGGAGGCAGTGAAAGTGTTTTGTTCTGGCCCTGGCATTAGGGACTCGCAAAAAAATATATATATACGTATAGGTACAACAAGAAAAAAAAAAGGATATTGGAATCGCAAACGAATGGGAGGCTCAAACCGGGCAGGGAAAAAAAATAAAACGGAAATTAAACTTAAAATATGGCAGGAGTCTGAAAGGCAGAAAGAGCGATTGAGGGTTAGAAGTGAAAGGGCGAGACAATTGCGAGTGGAAATGTGAAAATAGAAAAGTGAGCAAGTGCAAAAAAGTTAGCGTTACTATGAAACACATAGAATTGAGTATCTGAGTGTTCAGTGCGAGTATTGAATACGAGTATTGAAGTGGAATAAGTGGATTTGCATATGTTCAAACAAAGCATCCTATATGAAATAGTATTAAATTAGCTTAAAACTGAAGTGAACAAATGTGTGAAGGGTATTTAAATAAATTCTTTAGGTTTTGAGTGGTACTCCTTTAAAGAATAAAATCCTCATAATAATTTTTCGAATGAAAATCGACGGAGCACTTTTTCAATCTATTAGAAATCAAAACTGCCTTTAAGTTTCAATCTCGCATATCCTCATCATAAGTTTCATTAGCACTTGTGTGTGCTCTATTTAATTTATGCTAAATGATCAACGGCTGCTACTTATGTCTACGTTTTATTTTTATTTTCCCGGGCAAAACGAAAACAATAATTCAGCACAGCGAGCTGCTGCTGAAACAGCAGAAAGCAAAGAAAAAATATTACGGCTCAAGAAAAAAATGAAAAAAAGGGTAAGCAGGAAAAGGAAGTGTACACACACACACACACACACGCATGTGACCCATTGAAGGCAGGTCCTGGATTCCCCACCCACGCACTCATTTGCCTTTGCACTCACGTCTGTGTAATTTATGCCAAAAAACAGTATGCATGGATGTACCCTGCCAGCGAACAATTGCAATGGGTATATGAGAACATGAAGGGTACTCCTCGAAAAACGTTCTCGGAAAAGGTTTGTCCTACCAAAAGAAATGACAATTTAACAAAACTTAAAAAAACACAAACTACCAACAATGGCTTTCAATCACAATTCTTAAATGGTGGTGTCAAAAACCTAACCTTTGAACAATATCGGATATAAAATACATAGAAATTATATAGTTATATGATGTTTCCGTTAGGCAATTATCAACTGTTCAATTTAATTGTATTTTTTTTTTCTCTAAAATAATTATTTTTAAGCTTGGCTTGAACGGATATACATGCAGATTTATACCCAATACTTACATTTTACATACTGTGGCGCCATTGCGGACGAATACTGAAGCTTGATTTCTTACATGAAAATGGTATTTACAAACGTGACAATGACATTGAGTTTTTCCAATAAGAATTAATTTCCTGAAACTTTAATAGCCACTAAAACACACAAATTAATTGTTTATCCATCTTGAACAGAAACAACCTTAATTGATGTGTAAAAACCAGAAACCATACCAACCGAAGCATTGATTAAATTAATTTAAGAGTCAGCCAACTCCATATCCACATTATAAGCACCTCTTTTGAGGACGTGGAAGCAGGAAATGAGATATTACACACGACTAAATACACCTCCGACCAGGAAACAAGTGGAAGAGGCATTAAAAGCTAGTGACTGTGGTGAAAGAGCAGGTGTGGCATTAAAGATTGACTTAATTTGTTATTTTTTCCTTTAAAAATCTAAATGTATACAAAGCAAGGAAAAAGCATTAATCAAAATGGCTGATAGCATTATTATACTCTCAATAAATATCCGTTTTAATTAATCTTTAAGAATTAATAGAGTATATAAGGTACTTATTTGAAATGTTTGTGAGTTGTTGACTTGGTATTAAGAAATTTAAATATTCAAAGTGCCCTGCCAACCTAAAAATATAAGCATGGTATGTATTGTTTTTAAGAAAAGAAGAACCAGTTTAAATCAAATTCCTTATCAATCCGTTATCAGCAAAAGATTTACTTTTCTTCTTAATTTCGTGTAACACCGGAAGATAATTATCTCCAATTCATTGAACACTAATGCACTAATTTCAATGCAATCTTTGTAAATAGAAGCTTTCCGCAGGGCATTAATACACTTATTCCGCGTACGGATGTTCGAAAATCCGGCAAATAAGTTGGTTCACAGTCCACTAACTGACCGTAACTAAATATAAAGAACTGGATACAATACAGACATCTTAAACGACTTATCCAAGCGGACCGCTTATGATGATGTGGTAATAAGGGGTTGACAATTAAGGTGTCTACACTCAAGGTGGTTTTTTAGACATTAGCAGTTTCCCAATGAAGCACTCTGTTTATTTGAACTTAAAAGAACTGGATGCATATATTTCGCCGGCTTAACAGGGCATTGCCCCTCGTTTCCTTATCGAAAATGTGCGGGACAGCCCGCCAAAAAGCGAGACTCCATATACAGATGTTGACAAGCAACCAGTGCTCCTCAGCGCTGGACAAGATCTCTACTTCCTATTCTGGTTGTTGCGGGCCATGTCCTTGGGGAAGGAGCGCAGCGGGGGCGTGCGGATGCGGCGGGCCTCGCGGGAACGATTGCGCACCACCTTCGAGTGGATGGCGCAGGACACGCAGTAGTGGAGCTTCGCGTACAGCTTGGGCAGCACGTACGACTCCCAGATGCTGGCCTCGGTGATATCACGCACGGCGGCCGCCTCGACGATGTTGCGGATGACGAACTTCTTGATCGCCTTGTCCTTGGGCACGCAACGGGCGCAGTTGGTGCAGCGCACGGGCTTCACATGGCCGCGATTGTGCTTGTTGCGTCCTCCGTTACGGCGCTTCTTGGTCATCTTGCCGGCTGTCCTTCAACGAGACGGGGTGGTTTAAGCATCCGTTAGTACGTTTTGCCGGTTTTCGAGCAGCGATGGCCGCCATAGTTACCTTATTTATTTATTACAAAATATCCCCAGCGAAATCCGCGTGCTCGCGATTTCGGAAACGAAAAGAAAGGAAAAAGTGTGCACGCACCCGGTGTACGCTAAAATGCTCGCTAAAAATTCCCTAAATCGCGCCAAAACTCTTATTGAAACCTCGGTTTGAGTCCCGGACTCAAACTGAAAAATCGCCTTTTCTTAACAAAATTTTAACAAATAGGGCTAAAATAATTATTTTAAATTTAATTTGTTCTTAAAGTGCCCTGATGTAATTTTTGTTCCAAAGGTTAAGAATAAAATATCTGCAAGGCAAAAAAGTTGGCAACGCGTGTCAGTGTGGCCAGTCTTTTTAAGGTATTCTAGCTATTTTTGCAAACATTTTTGTTAAAAATTAAATAAGAAAGGTTTGTAACTTTTTGTTAACAAGGTATTTCAGACTGAACAAATTTGTTAAAAAATCTCAAGCTGAATTTTTGAATTAGGAAGACTGTTAATGTATAGTTTTTTACCTTATTTTGGTCGTAATCAAACTTTTAATCAAGCTAGGTATCAATTGTATATTTTCAACTAGGTCTTTTCCTAATATAATTTTGAAAAGATTAAAACTTTTTTTTTAATATTTCAATAAGAGTAAAATGGTTTTTTAAATATTAGCATTTCTCTTATAATATTTTCGTTTCCAAAAATGTTGGCATCAAACCAGAAATAAGTAAATATGGTAATTATAAAAAAAATTCTTTATGGAAACAAACGTATGGTAAAAATTGGCAAGTTCATAAATTCAAAAACGGGATTAATAATAACAACACGATTTATATATATATATATGTATATTTATTTAAAAGACATGCCAAAATATTGAAATTGTCTTAAACGTACTAAGCCTTAAGTAAGAAATTAATATCATAGAACTGATTGTTGTGTATGCATTAAAATGCATAGAAAATGCATTAGGAGCTGTGGATATTTGTTTTAATAAAACATATAAAATGTATTTTTGATAGTTACGTTTTGTACATTTATTTTTTGTTGTATCAGCTTAGTGGGTTTTTCTTTGTACACAAGTTAAACTAAAATATTTAACACAAAATAATTGTATGCCTTTAATTTTTCAGTGTCGGTTGGTTTCCAGTCTGCAGTTTTAGCCACGCCCCTTGGAACGGTGCGAACTGCGCTCTCTTCGCGGGCGGTCACGGGATCGGTCACGTTCACGGGATTGAACGCGCCCTCTTTCACGTTCCCGTTGTCTCTTCTGATCACGTTCCCTGTCACGTTCCCGCTCCTTGTCACGATCACGTTCACGATCCTTGTTGCGCCCACTGCGCTCTGATTTTTCACCACGATCTGGCCTCTCGTCTCTGGAGGAACGCTGTTCACGTCGGCTGTCCTTTTCACCGCGACTGCTCTTCTCGACGCGTCTTTCTCGTGGAGAAGAATTCTCTCTTCTGCGCGGTTTCTCATAAGATGGGGATCTATCTCGCTTTCTTTGCGGTTCATTTTGTTTCCTCCTTTCTCTGTCGTATGAACTATCCCGGTTTCTTTCTTTATCAAAAGAGGAATTATCCCGGTTTCTCGGAATTCGTTCTCTTTCGAAGGAGTTATCCTTTCGTCTGTTACCATTTCCATTAGATTGATAACGATCGGTTCTACGAGAATCAGGACCTTCCAGATTGAATTCGTCACTATCTTGCGGTTGCCCTCGGAATTTGTTGTTTCTTTGAATCTGCTCCTGTCGCTTGATCTTCGCCTGAGGTTCCTCGTCGCTTTCCTCACTGGAAGAACTGGCGGACGAAGATTCTGATGATGTCTTCTCGCTTTCTTCGCTGCTGCTGGAACTCGAACTCTCTTCTCGTTTCTTCTTGTGCTTTGATTTCTTTTTCTCGGCCTTCTTTTTCTCCTTCTCGCGCTTTTTCTCTTTTTCCTTTTTCTTTCTCTCGTTCCTTTTCCCTCTCTCGCTCCCTTTGCTTTTCCTTTTCCCTTTCCTTTTCTTTTTCCCTTTCTCTTTCCTTCTCCGCTCTCTGTTTCTCCTTTTCCCGTTCCCGTTCCCTCTCCTTCTCCTTCTCCGCCTTCTTTTTCTTTTCGGCCTTTTTGTTCTTAGCCTTCTTGGCTTTATCCTTACTTCCTTTTTTTGGATTTCTTTTTGCCCTTGTCTTTGCGTTTGCGTTTCTTCTGGGGTTCTGAGCTGGAGTCTGAGCTCGAAGATTCGTTAGAAGATTCTGATTCTTCTTCGCTGGAGTCATCGCTGCTGGATTCCGAAGATGAAGACGATGAGGAGGCCGAAGGTTGAGCTACCTTTGAATTTCCAGAGGGAGCAGAGCCGTCTCTAAATGGGTTTCCTCCAGAATTGGCCAGGATTTCGGCATTTATGGCGGGCACAGCCTTGGGAGCATTCTTCAAGAATCTTCTCAAATCATCAGTCAGTCCGCCCAAACCAATTGAGGTGAAGAAATTGATGGAGAAGCGTGTATTCCTTGGGTTATCCTTGGGGAACAACCCCGCCAGGCTTTCAACCAAAACGTCTTCCTTGAGTTTTGTATTCAGTTTACCCAGTCCCATGTATTCAGCGAGTTCCTGGAACAGGATTTTAATGAAGATCCTGCTCGACGATGTGGTGTCATCCTCGTTCAGTTGGATGCACTCCAGCACATCCCAACTGATGGCGTCGGTAAACAGGAGATGGGCGAAGAATTTGCTGACGTTTCTCAAGCGATTCGTATCCAATCTGTGGGTAGTTTGATAGGTGTCTTTGAAGATTTCCTCAAAGGGCGGTATGTAGATCTTGTTGATATTGCAGAACCGCTGGGCCAAAAGTCCATAGAACTTCTCATATGTTCTCTGTTCCGCACAGCAATCGAGAAACATATGACAGAGCTCTATTTCCTGACCGGGTTTCAGTTGCATTTTCATCAGCTTGTGGGCACACTCTTCGTAATCCAAACTGGAGTTGATGGTTAAGTAAATTGTGCGTCGCAGGGCAATCAGATTGGTCTCTGTGTTGTCGATAATGTCGCCAGCTTCGTTTTTTTTTGTTTTTCCGCATCCGATCCAGACTCTCCGTCCGAGTCGCTATCCGAGTCCGATCCGGAACCTGACCCTGAGCTGCTGCCATCATCGCTGCCCAAGATCTCGTGGCTCAGTCCTTTGTATTTGTCTTCGTTCTCCGCGTAGTTGTCGTCAAATTTAAAAACATCTAAAAAGGAAAGAAAAAAATTTTAAATTACAAGATAAACATACTATTTTATGGAATTACTTACTTAGAATATCTTCAGTTTCGGTGGCTTCATCTAGCATCATAAGATGCGTGAACTGATCGTCCTCTTCTACGAGTTCCAGTTCCGGAACAACAGCCTGATGGTCCTTGAAGCCATCCTTGCGCACCTGGAACAGCACCTCAATCATGTACTGCACTCGCTTGTCCAACTTTCCCTCGTGCAGGATGTTCCTCAGCATCTCGAAGATGGCCCCGATGCCTTTGGAGGAAACCTCAGTCAGCTTCATGCCGCACTCCTTGAGAAAAGCGATGGCCACCTCAACGGAATCATCCGTAGGCGTCTCCACCAGCAGGGTAAGGATCTCTAGGGCCAGAATTTCATGGGCCACACGCTGGTTGACCAAATGGCCAATGAATCTAGTGGCCGACATGCAAACCAACTTGTCATTGCGGCGGAACGCTCTACGAAATTGGATGACCAGACGTTTGAGGAGGAGCTCGCCTATATTCGGAAACTTTGAGTTTATAATGCTCACCAGAGCGGCGTAGACATGGGTGAAAGTGGGCGAAGCAGCCTGTGCTTGGATAATACTCCTGCTGAGTAGTCCCCTTCCACGCACGATATTCTCTCTCAAAAGCTCCCTGGTGATGATTGCTATGTTGGTTACATTCACTTTGTTGATATAACCGTGGATGGATTTCTTGAGGGCCTCCCAAGCGATTCTCTGGTAGGCTGCGGATGCCTTATCCGTAATCTGTGACTGCATCATCCGCAGCTTGGCTGGCGGAATATAGGCTCCTCCTGTCCTAGAGGTCAGAACATCCACTGTCTTTCTTTGACGCTCGGTTATTTTGGCAGCCGGCTCGGTTACGGTTTCATTATCAGCATTAGTTGGTTCCGGATTGCGTGCAGTTTTCGATGATTTGGATCCTGGACTCGAGGTGGAACGATCTCGTTTGCGATCGGAAGACCTCTTCCTCTCCCTAGAATCATCTCTTCGCCTGCTGCTGGATTTGCCGCGCTTTTGGTGGCGCTTTCCCACGCTCCTTGGCTCTTTCCTCATCCCGTTTGTCGCGCTCCTCGTGACGTCTCTGTCGCTCCAGGCGCCTCCTCTCCAATGAATTGGACCTACGGCGTGGACTGGCACTGCGGCTGCGGGTTCTACTGTTCTTGCTCCTCGAGCGACGACGGCGGCGGTTACGGGGCGAAGGACTCCTGCTGGAGGATCGAGGACGGCGGCGCTTCTCATCCTGACTACGACTTCGGTGGCGTTGGTTGTCCCTGGATGGACTTTTCTTGTCGGCAGCTGGTTTCTCACTTTCCTTGGCAGGCGGCACATCATCATCGTCTTTCTGCAATGCGAATAATTGTTTAATTATATTAATATTATCGTGAACTTACAAATGGATACAATTTCGATTAAGGAAGGTTTTATCCTTTATCGAATTTCAAAGATGATGAAATTATTGGAATTCTATTCATACACAAAATTTATCCTATACAATATTTTACTTACATCGGTTATTTCGCCCTCCTCAATGTGGTTATCCGCGCTGGGTGATTCCACTGTACCAGCAGCTGATTCCGTAGGCGATTCCTTACTGCTTCCATTGGTGGTTACCGGCTGCTCTTCCTCTTTTTCCCTGCTTTCTTCTGCTTCTTTTACAGAGTGCTCTTCTTGGGCCTTCGGTTTTTCTAGCTCATTAGTCACACCTGTAGCTTCTGTTTCCCCTTTCTGTTGGACAGGTGTTTCTACCGTTTTTTCCGCTTCATTTAATTTGTCACTTTCCGCTGTCGCAGCTGCTGCTGGTTCTTCTTCTTTTGCCGCTTTTCCACGCCATCAGAATGGGAAGCTGGCTTAGAATCGGTTTCCGCTAAAGTTTCTGCGCGCGGGAAGTGCTATCCTCATCCTTTTTGGCTCCTTTTTCTCCATCATTCTCCACCGCTTTATCCTTCTTGTTAGTTTTACTCGAATCTTTGGAGGATTTCACCCGCGCTGCTTCTTCTTCCTGCCTCCCGCTACTTGCGGATGAGGATTCGCTCCTGGCGTCGCTGTCGCTCCCACTGGACGAGCCGCTGCTGCTGGAATTACTGCTCGAATCGCTTTCGGCGTCGCTTTCTCCCATGTCGCGTGGTTAATTCGGAAAACTGTCAGGAAAAACACGATGAAAATCTGTAGGAGCAAAAAAAACACAACGCGGCGATAGATTCTAGAGATGGAACTACGGCTAATAGTATCGCTGTTTTCTGAAATGTGGCAGCATCGATAAATCAAGCCATCGATAGCTTTCGCTTTTAAAATACTGAGTACTTTTACCCTTTGGTTGTTGAAAATTTTTTAAAATTCAAAATTTACTTTGTTTTTAGAAAGGAAATTCACAAGTAAATAAATAATTATCATAAACATTAAAAAATAAATGTTCGGGAAAAAAGTTAAATTACATTTTAATAACTTTTCAAAAGTTAATAATTAATTTAGTTTCAATTTGACGTTCAGTAAAAATTGCCCATAAATTTAAATGACTGCACCATAAACATTCGCAACAAAACAACTAAATTTATTTTAGTTTACAAATTGTTTATCCATAGTAAATACTTTAAAAATAAGCTTTAATCACGACGGGTTAAACTAGAGGATGGACCTTTTCCAAAAGCCATTAAACCTTGCTGTCCGGTTTGGGTGGAACGGTTTCGGGAATCGCTGGCGACACATCGTCGTCACTGGAAGACGAGGATGACGATGAGCTGGAGTCATCGGCCTTCGTTCGCTTCTCGGGAATCGTGTAGGGGAACTTCTGGGACTTCTCCTCTACCGCCTGTTTTAAACGGAGCAGCGCAGTCCTGTTGATATTCTCTAACGAGACATCCTTAATGGCATTGGCCAAAACATCCATGGCCTTGTCGGAGTTTCCCTTGGTGGTCTGGATGTCAATAAGGCAGGAGTAGGCATTTCCGATGGCTCCCTCCGAGATTTTGCTGTTCTTCAGCTGGGAAATGACCGTTGACGCCAGTTTTTCATCTTGTTGCTCCCGTGCCGTCTGCAAAACGCGCTGGAACATCAGCCGCGGAGCATTGGACAGGTGCTTGTCCCAAATCTCCTTCGAAGCTGCCTCTTGACCGCTGGAAATGAGATGCATCCACAGTACATTCATGGGTCCGAGTTGATTGTGGGCGGCGAACTTCTCAGCCAGAGATTGATCTGCAAAAATATTGTTTTATAAAATCTAGTATTCAAGGATTATCGAAAGACTTACATTGTGGAACCAACTCCGGGTGCTTGTCCAAAATACCCACAGCTCCGCCGCGTGGGAACTTCTCGGCCAGCTTCTTCGCATCCTCGGGATTCTTGGCAGCATCAATTTCCGTGGTCAGATGCTTGAGGAACTGCTCCGCCTTTCCAGCAACAATGTTGGCATGACAGAAGCGATTGTCAAACGAAACCAGACGCTTTTGCTCATCGTTCAGCTGCTTGCCGATCTTCTCGAGCGTTTCCAAGTCCCCAGCAGCAGCAATTTTGTTCAGGTAAAACTTGAAGATCTTGGGCTGTGGATGCAGCTTATCACCCAGGAGTTCATCCACGTATTTGGTGGCCTCCGTCAAGCGATCCGCACGAACCAGCAGTTCAATCAGGCGGGAAATGTCCAAAGCACTCACTTTGTCTCCACTTTGGAAATTTTGCTTATGGGATATCGCTGCGTCGACATCATTGGCTATAATGGCTTTGCGGAAACTGGACAAAGGGGACACGGATTTAACTGCTGGAGCAGCCTTTACTGTTTCCGTTTTCGCTTGCTGCTTCTTTGGAGTTTTTTCTTTTGGTTGCTCTGCGATTTTAGCTGTTTCTGTGGTAGCTTCCGTTTTCACTTGTTCTTTTGGTTTGTTTCTTCTGCTGGCTTGTTCTTTCTGTGTTTCAGGCACCACGAAGGGCACATCCATGTTTTTCTTCTTCAGGATTTCAGCTAATTTTAAGAGAAAAGCATCGTTGGGTGTCACAGCCTCCTCCTGCATTTTGGTCCACAATCCAAGAGCCTTTTCCGCTTCATCGGCTTTGTCGTAGCTCAAAAGCAGCGTGTAGTAAATCTTATTTCTATCGATGTGTCCCAGATCCTTTGTGGCTTCAATCAGACCTTCCAGAGGCTGGAGTAAACCCTCATTCTTGTAGCGATCGCAGGCACTGCTGATTCTCTGAGGACGCGTACGCAATCCAGGGGTTTCCAGGATTTTCCTGGCCTGCCTCACGCGCCCGCACTCCACAAAGGAGAAGACCAGATCGTATAAACTGTTAACTTCACCATGAATTCCTGTGCTCAAATCCGTTAATTTCTGCAGATTCGTTGCATCCTCTTTTTGGATCAAGCGGCAAGCCAATTCGTTTTTCCAGGGAGTCGATTTGTGCTTCTGGCAGATCTCCTCAAAGGCTTCGATGGCCTTGGGAATATCATCCTTGACCAGGTGAACCTTGATCAAGGGACCCAGGAGAACATTTGTGGGCACAACATAGTTGGCTGCCACCAGAGCATCAAATACTTTTCGCAGCTTTTCCGGTTGACCAGCTTCGGCGATCGAATTCAGGATTCTCCAAACGGTGCTCACATAGTTAAAGCTTCCTTCGGTTTCGTTAAGAGGAGCATCCTTTTTGTTGTCCTCCAACACTTTGAAGGCAGCCTCCTCGCGTTCCTCTTGCAGCAGAAGATCAGCCAAACGGACAGCCTTATAGTTGTCCAACTGGAAGGCGGCGTCCTTGGCTTTCAGTTTGCCATAAGTTTCCAGAGCCTCGGCACTTTTCTTGTGATGCGTATACAGATCGATCAGTTGAGCATAGATGCCAATGGGAATCTGGAATTTTTCGGTCTCCAGTTTGTCGATGACTTGAAGGGTTTTCTCCAGGTTCTGCGAGCGGAAACAGGCGTTCAGGAGTTGCCTCTTGATGTTATTGGCATTCTCTCCCTTGCTTTCCACATTGACAATAAATCGTTCGAGTTCTGGGTGGAAAAAAGAAAGAACTTATTATGTTACTAAAAAAAATATTAACTAATACTCACCATCGATGGATAGGGAGTCCAAGGTCCTTTTTCCAGTACTCTTCAAGGGAACTGGCTGCAGTTCACCCGAGCTCAGTTTGCCTAGGAGCTCTGAGATCTGTGGAGTCAACTCAGAACCCAATTGTTCGGATAGCTGAGTGGCCTTGGCACTGCTAATGGACAATCCCTGCTTGACCAATCCCTTGAGGATTTTCTCCAGCGTGGCCGCTCGATCTCGACGGAAATAGGTGGTCGCCTCCTGGACAATTGCACCCACAACATCGGGAGTGCCTCGTTCCGTGGGAGCGGCAACTGCGCCTTCCACTGCCTCGACTTCCTCCTCCTTGCCTTGTCTCAATTGCATTCCCTCGTGAATTTGACGCACACAACGGATGAAGGCGGCGTAATCATTCGTGTGACTCAGCGCCAGGATCAAAGGTTGTCTGAACAGGATGGGCACATAGTAAGCCCTGTTTTGCTCCATAATCTTAGCTGCATCGGCAATTTGATGGGTGACCAAGGCGGAGTAAACAGCCGAGGTGACAGCAGTGGAGTTGGGAACTCCAGCATCCCGCAAAGAGGTGACAACTCGCTCCCAGTTCTTCTCCTTCAAGTTGGGAATCACATAATCCCTGACCGTCTCGGAATTGGGGAAGACTGAGAACTCCTGCTGCATGCGACGCACAATTTCCAAAACCTGATTGGATTCAGCAGAACAGATCAGTGGCCAAAAGTAGTGCTGTCTGATGGGCAAGCCGGCGTTCTTCATCTCTTGCAGCAAAGGAAGGGCATTGTTCACCACTCCATTGGTCAGACCAGCCTCGGTGGCGATGGTCAAAGGCCTTGGGATTAAGACCCTCTGATTGCAGGGTTTTGCAGATGGAAAGGATCTTTTCCACTGGGCGATTGGCCTTAACCATTTGCCTGATGAAGAAGGCTCCCACATCCACAGGTTCACCATTTACACGACTGCTTCTTGGCATCACACGAAGGAGCTTGAGACCCACATCTTCGTGTCCCTTGTTCACCAGGCGAAGGATCACATTCACCGCATCCTGATTGAATCCGGGCGAGAGTCGCAGCTTGGGCAGAATCTCATCCACATGCTCTCCGTTGCCATTGATGGTGAGGGTGTACACGATGTCTAGCAGATCCTTGTCCAGCAAGATGATCTCCTTTTGCTCGCATTCGGCTAGGGTTCCCTTGAGAGCAGCCAGATCTCCGTGGCGAGCAAAGGCACAGAGGAGGGTCGTATAAGTGTCCGCACTGGGTTCCAATCCGGCCTGCTTCATTACTCCCAGGATGCCTTTAGCGGACTCCAAGTCGTTAGCCTAGAAAACCATTATTTATAATTGTTAATAATGCCTAATGCATGGTATACCGTATCCACTAACCTGCGAATGTCCCAGGATCAAGGAGTTGAAGACATTCTCATTGACCGGCAGACTCTTGGCCCTCATAAATTCCAGAATCCTGGTGGCTCCCTCGATGTCTCCCTGCTGGCAATAACGAGCAATCAACCGCTGGTAGGTCACCCTGTTGGGCTCAATGCCCTTGGCCTCGATCTCCGCCAGAAAATCAGTGGGAGCGAAGCCATGCTCGTTCTCCAAATAAACTCGCAGCAGGGCATTGTAATGGGAGATGTCCATGGGCACATTCAGGGCATTCAGGGTCTTCCAGATCTCCTGGACCAAAGCCGTTCTGACCTCCGGCAGTTCCTCGGGCACCAGGTTTCCGCAGCAGCGGATCACCAGCAGCGATTGCGAACTGGTGGCCGTCCTGTGCGTACGAATCTCATCGAGCACCTCCTCCAGATCCCGTCGAGAAATGCGTCCAACCCGGCGAACATCCTGGTCCAGTCGGCGAATCTGCTTGTCCAGACTCAGCTCCGCTTTTGCCGCCGCATTTGTGGCAAATCCACTAAAAGAAGAAAATCATTTTATTAGTCAAAGGAATGAATAATTTCAACAGATTAAACAAGTTCGTTTGAAATCGACTGGATAAATCTAAACTATTCCAAAAAAAAAGCCCTTCAATAAGGTTTCACCATAAATATTTGCTTTTGAATGTAATACTAAATTCTGTACTTCTAAACACATCTATTTAGCACCAAATTGGATGACTAAATAGATGGCTCCATGGGTCTCCCATCCTAATCCAGATGAGGTTATGTAAATATTTGAGACATTAGTTAGCCAAGATTGCTCTGAAACTGTGTGACATGGATCCTTTTCTTCGGATAACAATCAACTGAACATTTCTATATCCCCCACCATTTACATAAATACACGGATGCATTGCGTAATGCCGGTACTTTATATGGTTTTTACTCACTTCTGGAACTGCCCGCACATGCAGGGCGCATTGTTGAGCAGATTACTGGACTCGTTCTCACGCACAGAGTTTACGACCACGTTCCTCGTGAAGCCGGCGAAGTAACGCAGCAGTTTCCCCGTCCTTAGGATGGATGCCATTGCGGATTTGCTCTGTTTTAATTAATAAATTCAGTTTATTATTAAAAAAGATTCGTTCGCACGAGTGCGATAGAGGTGGAACAAAAACCGTCTTTGCTTCGATAGTATCGAAGTAACAGGTACTAACGCTTGAAAAAGAACGTGTTCTGGCTTATTAAATAGTCAATTTTATACCAAAAAAATATACCATGGCGCCACTTTGAAAATACAGGTTGGTTTTTATACATTTTAAACAAAAAAGACAAAATAAGTTCAAAAGCTGATAGTCCTGACCCTCTAACTTTTGCAATTTTTATCTGATCACAAAGTGACATATCTCAAAACGTTTGTGTTCGCATTTTTAAACGAACTGCATAAAATTTCCTGATTCTAGATGGTCGATATTTTGACCCCTGCTCATATCAGATTTTTCCAAGTTACCGATGATGTGCAGTCAAGTAAAGGTAAAAAATCGGCCACCGAGGGACAGAAAACTTTATATGCAGCTTGTTTAAAAATACGACCAAAAACGTTTAGAGGTATGCCACTTTAGTATCGGACTGAAATTAAAGATGTAATTCACTATTAAAGATCAGATTTGCGCCACCCAAACGCGCATAATGCAAAAATCTTTCTTGGAAAGAAACCTCTATGAATTTAAAAACGCAAATTTGACTAAATCGTTATAAGATAAAATCGTGTTACAAACTTCTTATTAAAATTAAAATGCTTTTTAAAAAGGTATAGAAAGAAAGGTTTTGTGTTTGGAACTGCAACTGCACACACACTCTTAAAATTGAGAGAGTCCCACACCCACACACACCTGGTAAAGAGAAACCGCGAGCTTTGGCGGCTCTCTTACGCCTTGCAACTTCTTTTTACTGCGTTTTGTTGTTGTTTTCGCTGAGCTGACGCTCAGCAGACGTCGGCGTCGGATTGTGGCGAAAATTGCACTCATTTGCAAAACTCTCGTTGCAAACGGCGGTTTAGAGTTTAAATAAAAAATATAAAAATTTACAAATACAAATATAATTAAAAATTGGTTCGATTTTAAATTCTTTAATTTTGAAGGGAGTGTTCACTGATTTTATTAACATTCTTCGGTCTAAAATACTAACTTATTCTTTATAAAAACTTCTCATATACACTTCCCAAGCCATTTTCTGTCGTTTTCAAGGAATATCAATATCAATAAATCGTTACAAAAACATGATCCATATTCGCGTGTGTGGGTGTACGCGTATTTCCGTATGTGTGTGCGTGCCTACACTGCAACTTGTGACGGATTTTTGTGGTTTTCAAAGAGAGAAAATTTTGTTGTATTGACAGGTGCTCGATCAAGTGCCCTGAAAAATCCGAATAAAGTGTGGGTGAATCGACGTTTTGCAGCACTGGTAAGCGAGAAAATTGATTAAAATACAGATTACTAAGGGGGAAATATATTTAAAAAATATATGTGCTTAAATCTTAAGTACTTGTGTGTGTGTTTTGTGTGAGAGAGACAGAGAGCGCGAGTGCAACCAGAAATTGCAATACACACAAACAAATTGCCACGCAAAAAGCGGCCGGCTTGCTCTCCGCCTCCTCTTTCCACTCTTCTTCCCCTTCCTCACCCTTTCTTCTGTTTCCCCTTCGTGTGTGTGCACTGGATGCACTTGGTGCGATTCATTTGCTTTTATTACCATTTTTGCCCGTCTCTGCACTCTTTTTTTCCCATTTTGTGGGGGCTTTCGGCTCGGAGGCAACCCTGGCAGCCAAATGCGTTGGTGAATAAGTTCTCTACCCTTTTGTCAGTGTGGGCCGCGACTTTGAAAAGCTTGGAGCTAGCGGTGATGCAGCGCAAAATTGCAATAATTGCATATACAAATACTCAGATTAACCCACAAAGAACCTAAAATAAATAAAAGCTACCAAAGAAGTGGTTGTTTTTCTCGGTTAAAGTGTGTATTTGTGGAAAAAAACATTTATTTTCAAAAAACTGTTAAAAAAATCGAAAGTGCCTATAACAACGACAAATAACATAAAATAATAAAAAACACTAACAACTTCAGTATAAAAGAGGAACCAGTGAAAAATTACTTATAAATTTTTGACGAGAATTTTACACAATAAATTCTCAATTAAAAATTTAATTATTATCCTTTTTTACATAAAACAATTTAAATCCGATTTCAAGCCTTTATACATAATTATTTTTGTCATGCATTTTGTTAATAATATTGAGTTCAAAAATAGAAACTTCTTATTTTTCAAAGATTCTTGTTTCTAGTATTTATATTTTTTAAAAATCAAACAAAAATGTTTTTTCCTAAAAAAAAACTTAAATAAAACATTTCTATGCTGCAACTTTCATTGTGAAAACCAATTGAAGACAATTAAAACGCATTTTCTCTGCAATTGATGATGACCTACGACAAAGGAAATGAAGTCATACCCATACACACATACGACTGACACGCACACATGCACAAACCGAAAGGCAAAGTGCAGGCCAAAAGCGAATAAGCAATAAAGAAGAACAAAAACAACAAGCAGGGGCCCTACGAATCGCAACAACAACAAATTGAAAATTGCACTGCGCATGCACATGCACACACAAACAAACTCAAAACACACAAATATACTCGAACTGAGCGATATTGCAGTGGTATCTGTGCGCTTTTGTTCGCTTGCATAAAGAAGAAGCAGCTGGAAAAAGTACTTAAAATATAATTAAAATTGGGAAATAAATTTATAGGTGGTTTTAAAATACGAATATACTTCGGGAGCTGGTTCCTGATTTAATTTTTCGCGTTTTCCACACTTCTTGTTTGTGGTATATTTTTATTTCATTAAAATGCGCGTCATGCCAACGGCAGTTGAATGCACTCGGCCTTTGCCTCGAATGGCTTCCATTTTTGACCGATAATGATAATGAACAGATTAAGCGCTTTTTCCAAAGCATAAATATAAAACAATCATTTAATATTTATTGTGGTTTAAACATTTTTATGCCAAAAAACTTTATTTGAAAGCCATTTTTAGAACTTGACATTGCAACCAAAAAATATCTCCGATTTTTTCAAAGCTTTTTTTTACTGTATTTAGCGTAATACCTAGACCAGCGTTTCTTTTCGACCTTGAGTGAAGTATTTAAAGTAGAATGAGCACTGCAATTATTAAATTCTCTGCAAGCCCCAAAGGCATTCCTTTGCACTTAGTGGCTGTCCCTCTCTCGTGCATTTCCTCATGTTGTGTATCTACAACTGGAATTACTCATCATCAGCATTTCCATAGAAATCAAAGCTCACAACAAAAATAGTGCGACTAAAGTACGAAATACTTAATAAAAGATTTTTAAGGAAAATAGCGAACTGGGAAGCTTTGGAGGAACGTTTAGAATGTAATCTTTTGAGTACATATCGAATCCCCACTGCTTTGAAAAAAACCAAGCATGATACTAAAATCGCAAAAGAAAACTTAAACTTAATACAGGAAAACTAAAATGCATAACAATAAATTTCTATAAAAACTGAAAAGAACTAGCAATGAAGCTTTTAAAATAACCATAAACCAAAATGTTTACAAAATTACAGACAGAAATCAAAGCAAATATGAATTTATAGAAACCTCTTAGGACTTGAAAACTTCGCGAACAAAAAGGCACAAAAAAACATATAGAAATGACAGTACTTTTTCCACTTCCTACTTCTTTCGTTCAATTCGAACTCCCTATATTTGTTGGGAATGCCAGAAAGTGATGGGTAGAGGTGCCAAAGGACAATGGTTCAAGTGCAAAGAGGATGCCAAACCGCATGCAACAATGGTAGCAACAACAAGGACCGGACGAACGCCGAAGGACATGCCGTGCAATTTCCTTTTCTGTGGTGAGTTGCAGCTATTGCGTATACGCCGTGTGGTCGGGTGTGGTGTGTAGAGCGAAAGAGAGAGGCGACGCTTCCGTCTCGCCAGACAGAGAGAGAGCAGCTATTTATAGCAGGGAGCTCCAAAACCGAGCTCAGCCTTGATACCGCCCTTGAACTAACATTGCTGGGGAACTATTCCTGTATCTCCGGTCCTGTTCCGTCCTGTCCCGTCCTGTCCTGTCCTGTCCTGTTTTCGTACCCTTCGATTCGAGACACACACACACAGTCACACACAACCATCACAGCTGGAAACCAGTTGGTGGAGTGGAGGGGGAGGGGGATCGTGAGCGAGGGGAATATGGAATGTATATGAAGGTCTGGGGACCGCCAGTGCATATGTCACCAGTCGAGCGGTGATTTTGTGTTTGCGGCTCGCTTCTTCACGGTGCCCCATGTCCTTGCCCCGCCATCTGAACTCAGCAGGCTTTGACATTGATTTTGTGCATCCTGCAGATGTACTGTGTATCTGTATCTGTGTCCCCCCTTCGCATTACAACCGAGAATAAAACTCCCACTCAACTGAACTCAACTCAGCTGTCGGCACTTTCTGATGTCATGGCGGTTTATTTATACAAATAATTTTATTGTTTAGCAAACACTTTGAAATACAAGCGGCTACAGCGGAAAATATGATATCTGATTTAGGTATGGAGTAATACGAGGAGTAAAAATCTATAACCTTGATTTGTTGCCATAAAAAATAAACGTTTGGGTTCCCAATTGGAGATATTGTCAATGTTCGGAGGGCAGTTAAAAAAAAAAAAGATTTCATAGAAAAATTTAACCGCAGTCAAGTTCAAATAAATATAAAATTGAAATGGAAATATTTTTATTGATAATATTTTTAGTATTCCAAATGTCTATGTTGAGTAAGTAAAATATTTTCAATAAATTATAATCTGGTACGAAGTAATTTGTTACCTCGTTACCCTAAATCACTTACCTTTAGTGCTTAAAATCAATTTCTCGTTGGCAGCCAACCTGAATGATTGATTGGCTGCAGAAATTCGATGCATTCCCTTTTCGCTATTTTTATAAATTATTCAAAACTGATGCGTAATAATGCAAAAATATATACAAGATAAAAAGAATGAGCTGCGAGATGTAAAAGAAATAAGAACTACAATTGAAACTTGAGCAAACAAAGGGCTACGTAAAATGTTTGCAAATTGAATTTCAAGTAAATATGAGCAATGCG